CGGGAGGGAGCCCCCGCACCCGCCGGCCCCGCGGGCTGCGCCGGGCGGCAGAAGTGCCGCGGTGATCCCCCCTGCGCGGAGCTGCACCCCAGTACCCGAACAGGGGCACCCGCGCAGGGGCACCCACGCTGGGACACCCGCACAGGGACACCCCCACAAGGCACCACACAAGCTCCTTCCCCCAGCCACGTTAAGGCTGAATCCCGTAACTGAGCACCGAGGGGTTGCTGGTGTCTGTGGGTGGGAACAGGTAGGCACTGGTTGCAGGGCCAGGCCTGGGGACTGGAGCTGCTGGGGTGGGTGTGGGGGACAGCCCCAGGGACCTCAGGCCACCCTGAGGCGTCACCGGTGCCTCGGCTGGTGGCTCTTTGACTTACTAAATGGGAAATCAGAAGCTCGGCACATCGCTGCTCCCATGGAAGTGGGAGGCGTTTCAAAGCAAGGGTGGTGATCGAGGAGGCACCAGGTGGGACCTTTGCCGTGTCCATTGCCAACGGGCCGGGCGAGGTCTTTGGAGGCTTTACTGGGCTGCCACTGCTCTCCCTACGCCTCTCCACTGCAATAGCAGAGCCCAAGCTGACCTTTTGAGTTTTGGAGACCAAACCGCGCCGTTTATGCGCGAGCATGCTGATGGTCCAGGATGTGGCTCCCGCAGGATTTCCCCACCACGTGCTCCATGCCCTTCTGTGATGTGGGGCTGGATCACACCTTTGCCCTCTGCTAGATGCTCAGGACAGGCAGGTGAGCAGCGCCGAGCCCGGAAGGGGACGCATCCATCATGTCCACCCTGGGATGGTACCCTTCATCGGTGGGAACCACAGAGAAGAGCCGCTCTGAGCAGCGGTGGCACGTCCTGTGGGTCAGGCACCCTCTGGGCTGTATGGACGACGCAGCGAGAAACACAGACTGATCCTTTCCAGCTCCTGCGATGGAGAAGGTGCTGCCACGGGAAGCCAAGATGACTCTGTCCAGCAGCGAGCCCAGAGGGGTGCCAGCAGAGAGACCCCCCTCTTGGGGGTGTCCTCTTTGGGATGTCCATCCCCCCCTCTTGGGGATGTCCATGCTCATCCTTGCCAAGCCAAGCACAGCACGTGTGTGTGCATCCCCCCAGGGACCTGTGTGCCCGTGTGGCACAGCAGCCCCGAGGGTCACCAGGTCCTGCTCTGTCTTTCTCCACGCAGAGCTTGTTTGTGGCGGGTGTTTGATGGCACCCTGGCGCAGGAGCCGGCCTTGGGGCAGCTCTCCCCTCCCAGGCTCCACCACTTTTGCAGGCTGTGCTGCAGCTCCCCTCCCTCCCCTCTGTTCTGCTTGAAGGGAAAAAGATGGGTATTCATTCAGGTATTGAGAAAGGCTGCAAAAAAATTTCTTTTATGGTAGGTTTTTGGTCCGTGCAAAGCACATTGCATGGTGCAATAAAGGATTAAACAGCAAAAAAAGAATTCCTTAAAGCATTTATTTAGTTGCTGCTAAATTGTCAGTGTCCTGAGTGAAGCTGTACCCCCAGATTGCTATTGCTCCATTAATGCAAACACAGTATGGGCTGGTGAACCGCGGGTGAGGTGTGGGGCCAGCCCTGGGTGCAAATCTCATCTGCTGCAAGTTTGCACCAGCGCATGGTGCGTGCCCTGCCCCAGCCAGCCCTCTCACACCAGGCTCGCTCCTGCCTGCAAACCGGGGCCATTACCAGGCAGGGTGCGTTCATCCTGCTCACTCTGCTCCCTGCCTGGGCGCCCAGCCTGTTCCTGGTGGGTGACACCACAGAGCCCCCCTGCCCCACACTGGGGTCTGTGGCAGCTGCCTGTGCCCAGGCGGGACTGTCCTTCCAAGCAGTCTGCTTTTGCTCCCGCCCTTTGAAAAAAGCTGTATTAGTCTTCTGCCTAATGGAAATAGTCACTGGGCTCAAATACCTGCCCAGGGCTGGGCCATGAGCCCTCCCGTGCTCCCTGGGCTGCAGATACAGGTAGTGTGGAAGCAGCTTTGGAAAAATCCCACTGGATGCCTGAGTGCAACATCTGGGGAGCCTAAATCCCTGGGCAAACCCAGCCTGGAGCAGGAGCCAGGGAGCTCCCAGCTGATGGGGAATTAGGAGCCTTGTGGGGCGAGGGGCCAGGGCAGGGGCTATGGGGCATCTCCCTGCCTGCTCTAAGGGCTTGTCCAGACTGAGTCCCCCAGCAGCGTCCCTGCAAAGTCTGGCCAGGCCCATTGACATGATAATACTATTAAACTTCAGCAATTTGAGAAACAATGAGCGAGCAAGAGCCCAAAGGGGGATGCTGGAAACCCCAGGCAGCCTCCGAGTGGGTGGACCTGTCCCAGGCAGGACTCCCTCCACCCTTTGCCCACCCTCTGATTTTTAATCTGGAGTTTTGGCAAGGAAAATTGGATTTGTGGTCGGCTGTGCCGGCTGTTGGCTACAGCCCTGCCCTTGGGGCCCGACGCTGGCTCTCCAGCAGCGGGTGTCCTGCTCCCTGCTCAGGGCCACTGGACTCCCTGCAGGCTGGGATTCCCCCAGTAGGACTGGCCCTGGGAGCAGTGTTAACAGGGCTTTTTTACTGGTTCACAGCCTGCCTTTGCTCTGCAAAAGCCAAGGCTCGATGGCCTTGGGCTGGAGTGGTGGTGGTGTTAATTAGGAGGGAAATGATAGCTGGGTTCGTCCTTCCCCTGCTCGGGGATGGAGTGGGAGCCTCGGGCTGGTGTGCTCCTCTACCCACCTCCAGCAGAGAATTAAAGTCAGGTTTAAAGGTTTAAAAGTGATCACCACCTGCTCGGCAAGGAGACCAACAGTTGTGTTAGAGTGCCGGTAAGGGCCGGTGCATACTGACTGGGAACAAGCAGCACCACGAAAACAGCCAGTGTCCACCTGTTCGTGCCACAGCCCCATGGTGCAGGGCTCAGCCCAAGCCAGCTGTAGCATGAGCTGCTTCACTGCCTCCAGTGCCGCGTGGCGTTGCCCGGCTTCAGCACCGAAGCCCCACGCTTGGGCGCCACGGCCCCTCCATCTCCTCCTGTCTCTTCCCGTGGGGTAGCTCTGCTGTTCCTGTTGCCCTTCCCAGAGACCACAGGGCAGGGCAGACCCTCTCTATGGTACTGCCATATCCTTTGCTTCTCTGATACTCCCATAACCTGCATCACTGGACATGGAAAGAGGAGCCATGGTGCTCTGGGGACATCAGGATGGAGCTCACAGCGCTGGAGAACAACACTCTTGCGTCAGGGTTTGGAGGAAGCCTCCCTGGGCTCTAGACAGCTCTTGTTCAGGCTAAAGGAGGGAATAATTCTCATGGGGAGAGCTGAGGCAACAGGACCTGCCACCCAGAGCGCCCAGGGCTGCTCCTGGGCCCCTGGCTGGGGCTGCGTGTAAGAGCAGGAGTAAGAGCTGAAGAAATGGGCCAACAGGAACCTCATCAGGAGGAGAAGTGCAAAGTCCTGCCCCTGGGGAGGAACAACCCCAGGCACCAGGATGTGCCGGGGGCCACCCAGCTGGAAAGCAGCTTGGCAGGAAAGGTCCTGGGGGCCCTGGTGCACACCAGGTTGACCATGAGCCGGCAACGTGCCCTTGCGGCAAAGATGGCTAACGGTGTCCTGGGCTGCATTAGGAGAAGGGTCACAGCAGGTGGAGGGAGGTGATCCTTCCCCTCTGCTCTGCACTGGTGAGGCCACCCCTGGAGTGCTGGGTCCAGTGCTGGGCTCCCCAGTACAAGAGAGACAGGGACATACTGGAGAGAGTCCAGCGAAGGGCCATGAAGGTGATGAAGGGACTGGAGCATCTCTGCTACGAGGAGAGGCTGAGAGAGCTGGGACTGTTCAGCCTGGAGCAGAGCAAGCTTAGGGGGATCTCATCAGTGCCTATAAATACCTGGAGGGAGGGTGCAGAGAGGATGGAGCCAGCCTGTTCTCAGTGGTGCCCAGGGACAGGACCAGAGGCCATGGGCACAAACTGACACAGGAGGGTCCCTCTGAACATCAGGAAACACTTTTACACTGTGAGCAGCTCTTTTAGATTGACCCAAAAGGATGGTTATTTTCTTAACTTGGTGGCCCCCTGCCCCAAGCAAACACTTCTGAAATTAAACAAGTTTTATTTTGGTGCCAGGTGGGGTCTCACCAGGGCAGAGGGGGAAAATCACCTTCCTCGACCTGCTGGCCACGCTGCCTGTGATGCCGCCCAGGATACAGTTGGCTTTCTGGCCTGAAAGCGCATGTTGCCAGCTCACATCCAACTTGTCACCCACCAGTGTCCCCAGGTCCTTCTCCGCAGGGCTGCTCTCAACCCATCCATCCCCCAGTCTGTGCTGGTACTGGGGGTTGCCCCGACCCAGGTGCAGGACCTTGCACTTGGCCTGGTTGAACTTCATGAGGTTCACATGGGCCCAAATAGTTTGGGGCTTTACTGATGTTTCTTTCTCCCTCTTTGGGTGAAGTGGTTGACCAGAGTGGATGAAGTGTTTTTGGGGAACGCACAGTTGACAGCACAGGAGAGCTGCCCCATCTGCTTGTGTTGGCACCAGGGGCCTCCCAAGAGCATCAGCTGATGGACGATGCGAGCTGATGTGATCGGAAAGGCTGCCCTCCGGCCTCTGCACTGCCGGAAAAGCCGGGAAGCCAACAGCTGAGCAAATCCAGGGGAAGGGGCTCAGTTAGCACCAGGACTGAGAAAAAATAACAAGGCATAGAAAGGGCTCTGAGCATTGCTGGACGAACTGGCATGTCTCCTGGGGTCCTGTCTCCCACCATGGCTAGAAGCAGGTGCTGAAAGATGGTGAGAACAGAGCCCGTGGGAGAGATGCTCCCAGCCACAGACACCCTGAGCCAGACGTGGCTCCTGCGTGTCCGGTGATGCCCGTGCGCAGCCCGAAGAGGGGTGCGAAGCAGCACCATCCCCACACTCCACCCTGCTCCCGCATCTCCTTGCCAAGCCAGAGTTCAGCCTGCCCGGGGCCTCCTCGGGTGGAGGCTGGTCCGTGCTGCCAAACCTCCCAGTTGCCCTTCTCAGGACGCTTCCACTTTGGCTCTGTCTCTTTTTTATATTCAAGGTGTGGGCGATAAAAGGACCTAGGCAATGGCCAAAGAGTGGTCTCTCTTTTAATCTCCTTTCTTTTCCTAGTAATTCCTAGCATGTGATTTTCTTTCTCCTTTTTTTCTTGATTTTGACAGCCGCTGAGCTCTGACCTTTCCTTGGGGCTGTATCGGGGCACTTGGAGCCTGTTGTCTCACCCGTGAAGTCAGGGTTGATCTTCCCCATGTGCTTCACTTTCCATCAACCCACCTACGACTGCACCTGCATTTCAGTGCTTTTCTCTCAGCCTCTGAAAGTCCTGCAAGACAGCCCCATCTTTGTTACCCAAATAACTTCTTGATCCACCTGCAAAGAGCTCCAGAAGGTGAGGGGAGGCAGAACTCCTTTCTGCGAGGGCCATATTTACTCTTCCTATACGTACCCCAGCGTCCACTAAGAAAGCTCCTCTACTTTGCTGGCATCAGAGTTGAAGGATGCGTCTCCTGAGAGTCCTGCGGTCTAACCATGGCTGTGCCGGTGATGGGGGCAGCTTAGACACAGCAGCTTTAGTAGCTGCTTGAGACAGTGCTTCTGAAAGCCCCACGCTGGAGCTTCTGGCAGCTCTCTGCTGGGGGCCAGCAGTGCCTGCAGCTGATGGTGGCCAGCCACCAAGTCCATCCCACTCCCGACACTGGGAGAACCTGGGCTGGTCACACAAGCTGATCCTTTGGGGTCAGTGGGGCTGAACATCGCTCCTGGATGCAGCTGCCCCCAGGAGACAGCTTGCCCACAGCATGGCAGAGGCCTTGCGGAAGCTGCAGGCCCTTTCCCACGCCACTCGATTTATCTCCAGCATCAGCCCATCTGCCCCCAAGTGAGGTCTGTGAGACGTTCACTTTGGTGTGCGTCCCAGTGAAGGGGGCTTTTTAAAAAGCATCCTGCCCTCCAGCAGCCTTCAGGCCTGGGACTTTGCTCTGGAAGTGGGAGAACTGTAGGTTTTTCCCTGGTGCAGCAGGGAATTAGGGAAGGAGCTTGGCATCTACGAGCCTGGAGGTGGGCTGGTTTGGGGCTGTTGCTGCAGAGCATGAGCCATGACGCTGGGGAGCTCCCCAGGAGAGCACGTGTTCAGCCTCTCACATCTCTGTGTCCCTGATAATTTAGTTCATCTTTCCTTTTGTTGGTGGTGCCTGGGAAATAGAAGCACCAAGAACCAAGGAGAAGCTTTTCAACCATGGGTCATCTCTCAGGTGAGAGCATCGCCTCTGGCCTGGCAGGTGTCTGAGCATGGATGGGGCTGCGGACCCCTCTGATCCCAGCAGCATGCGCACACGGAGCTCCCGCAAACCCCACCTGAGCTTTCCCAGTGCGCTGGGAGCATCTCTGGCATGCCCTGTGCCCTCGCCAGGTTCTATGAGTTTGTTATCATGTTTTCCCCCATTTTAAGTAAAGAAATGCAGGAAACCCATCTTTCCAGGGCAGGGAGATGGGCTGACTTCAAGCAGCACTTACGACAGTAGCTTTGCAAGGCGGGAGCCCCCGCGCTCCCACACCCTTGTCAGGGTGGTGATAAATAACCAAACCAAGGGGACAACCCCCCTCCCCATTTCTTACCCTCCCTGTCTCTTACCCCCACCCCTGCCCGCTCAGGGTGATGCAAAAGGGTGGCCGAGCCCCTGGGACCCCAAACCAGCTGATGGGGACAGTGTGGCCGGCACCTTGCCAAGTGTATCTCAGCCCACCCGTCTGCCCACCCCGATGTGGGGCCCGAGCAGAGCGACCCTCATCCCATCAGCAAAGGTGGAAAATGATGCTCAAGCTGATTTTACGTGGGTTGGGAGCGATTTGGCTTTGAAAACAGGCTGCCCCACTGGAAGGAGCACTGGCTGGCAACTGCAGCGAGGTGGGGAGGTGTGGTGCCCAAATCCGCCAGGCAGGCGGGCAGTGCGGCACGGCACGGCGCCGGTCCCCGAGGGAGCCACACACAGAACATCTCCATATCACACCCATCAGGTTTTATACGCCGCTTTGACTTCCCGAATCCCTCAGATCACAGGCTCTAAAGCCATAAAACAGCCAGGAAGGAGGAAACAATGTGGGTTTTCTTTTGTGAAGGAAGGGAGTGCAGGAGAAGAGGGGAGAGATGCCTTCTCTCTGTGCTACGGCCCCAAGATAGGGATTGCTTGGGCTCGAGCCAGCCAAAATCCCCGCAGGCCAGCACTCACC